AACCAGGAGGTCATCACACCCATTTCATAAAGAGTGAAAAGGTAGGCTTAGGGTAGGTCAGGAACAGCCCGCAACCTTCCATGACAAACAGAATGGTCGGAATGGTTTTGCAATTTTATGCAGTTGTAGATCCTTTTAGTATACAAACAATTGTGGCCCATTCAAACACGTTCAAATCCCATCAAGTCCCCACACCAGCACCACCCTAGCAGCGATGGCCTCCACCCTAGTAGCGATGGCCTCCACCCCAGTAGCGATGGCCTCCACCCGAGGAGCGATGGCCTCCACCCTGAGCGATGGCCTCCACCCGAGCAGCGATTGCCTCCACCCTAGTAGCGATGGCCTCCACCCTAGGAGCCATGGCCTCCACCCTGGTAGCGATGGCCTCCACCTAGTAGCGATGGCCTCCACCCCAGTAGCGATGGTCTCCACCCTAGGAGCGATGGCCTCCACCCTAGTAGCGATAGCGATGGCCTCCACACTAGTAGCGATGGCCTCGACATAGTAGCGATGACCTCCAAAACACTGTTTCGGTTTCACAAAATTTGCTGTGGAACTTTGTGGGCGTCCCTGTGGGTCTCCATTCTGCCAATGCATGCCTGGTACATTTGCAAACAGACCCTGTTAGTTGCCCGGACCTTGCTTTACACAGGATCCATCATCTTCAACAGGAGTTTGCCAAAAGTATAGTACAGTATATAGTAATTCTGTAATGCTCTGTAATTCACCAATTTGTACTAGACCCTTGATTGATCCTTTAACCTGGAGAGCAACATCCAACGGGGCCTGCGTGTACATCTTGGGCTTCTCTTGAAGGCCAGGTTCAGCTCAGAAGCTGAAATGAAACAATCCGGTTTAACACAGGATGTGCCACCCTTGGTGTGCCACCCTTGGTGGTCACATCGACTCACTGCCCAGATATCAAACATATCGAGCAAAACAAAAATACAGGCTCCAGGCAAGAAGACTTTGAAAGGCTCTGAAAGCAACAGAAACAAAGAATTCCTATTCCAAGCCAACTGTTCGGACAATTTGTCGACATGTTTCTTCCCGTCTTGGAGACTCCAAGCCGAGCCAGATCCAGCGAAGCAACGCCATTCGCTCACAAGTTTAAGTCAGCGCCTTCCACTACCCGTATGTCGGTATCAATGCATCACGACGGGATCAGACTCCGAATCTGGCTTCGATTCGGCAACCCGCGCAGACGTGGGAGTAGAACTTGAACCAGAGCTTGAGGTCCTGTGCGATGCCAATGGCACATGGTCATCATGGTCATCATGGTCATCATGGTCATCATGGTCATCATGGTCATGTCTGCGACTTCAAACACTTCAATCTGAGTGCAGGATCTGGCAGAGCCTGCCACCTCGATTTGCACGGGTACGCTCGATGCGTCCCATCAAACCTCGTTTGGGCGGCCGCGGGACGACGGGTACGCCCGAGCTCCCACTGAGAACACGCCAACGGGTCCGCAACGCGGAGAATCGATGAGAGAATCCAACGGAATCTCCAAGCGGATTTCTGGACGAATCGGACAAGAACTGTGCTCCTTGCTGTTCAGCCATTTTGGACGCTCCTCTGAGGTCACAGGACCTTGCAAGTGATTTGACTGAAGCAATGCAATCAATACTCAAGAAACTCATAGGGTAAAATCTACATATCTAAGCTCCTCAAACCAGCTTGCCCGTACCTGAACCTACAATGTGTGGGTATTCAATGATGCCCCAACAAGCCTATATAAACAAAATGAGCCTTTTGATTGGAGTCCAAAAAATTGCCTAACATTGACACCAAAAATATATAGTATATCTAAAATTAAACCGAAATCAGAAGACACACAAGGTGGAATACCTCCTGAATGAAATGAGAAAATGATTGAGGACCTACAGGTAAAAAGGGGGAGACCAGGTGGAAAGTGCAAGCAAAGAAAAGGTCGTGTCCACAGCAAGCACTGACTAGCAACACCTAGACTTTCCATTGTTGGGCGCCGAAGCCCTGGCTGTGGTGAAGCTGAGCAAGAGCAGACTCAGGAGCTCACGAGTGAAGAAGTTGTTGAGGCTTGCTCCCCGTTTCAGTGAAAGGCCAGAAGGCTTGTGCGTCTCCTCACGTCGCAGGCTCGGGCTGTTCGCTTCTTCTCTTACGCTTCTTCTCTGGGTGTTGAAAGGCTCTTGAACTTGCAACAAATCCAGTGTGGCATCGCTTTAGATTGAGCAGTTGGTCGTCTGTCTACCAAACATCCGATGAAAGCATTTAACCTTGTTACTAGTAGCCATGCCCTTGTTACTAGTAGCTTCTTGTTACTAGTAGTAATGCCCTTGTAACTTGTACGAGTAGCTTTGCTCGGTGTTTCCGTGAGCAAAGCCTGCTCCAAGTCTCTGAAAGCCTCTCTTGCCATTTCACCTCAGCTGCACAGGCCTACAGCCTGCCTGGGACAGCTGGTTGGATCTTGTGGAACAAACTCTTGTCAAACCGAGCAACCCAAATCACATTCTACATCGTTCAAGTCGGTCAGATCCTGGTGAAGAAGCAAAAATTCCAAAAGTCAGAAACGTCGGACTGTGATTTCCGGCAGCTGGAAGCGCACCGACGGCTCTTTGGAATTCAAATATTTCACGAAGCGCCTCATTCGCAGACACAACACGGAACTGCTCAAAATGGCCGTTTCGCAGCAGTCTGAGCCAACAGGCCGGCCGAAGCTCTGCAAAGAGGGCACCACGTCCTTTCCAAGACTGAGTCCGTTAGGACCGTGTCCGTTGAGACACAAAGGGTCACTGAGCCCATCCTTGTATTGGCTCACGATGTTGTGGAAATCTTCAGCAGTCAGGGTTAGAACAGTGCACCTCAAGCACACTCAATCGTAGAAAGTGCAAATGCCAATGCACTGATGATCTTTTGCTACCGGTCCACATTGAAGTCCCAAGCGTTAGTCAACATCTTCTATTGTCAATTGCATAAGCCATGTAGGGTTGCTTTGTGGAGTCAAACTACATTCTCGCATCAGGGGCGACCCAAGCAATAGGGCCAGCAGTTAAGCCACGCAGACCGGTCTGCTTCGATGAGGAAGGACGGTACTAAGCCATCCACTGCGTCTTGGCCCTCACTGTGCCACATGTTGTCCAAGCCTTGAGCAGTCGTCCACTGTGTCGCGTTGGTTGAGAGAGGTCGACGGCACAGTGTCCCTGGTCAACGACACAGTTGTTGCAACGACTTAGAGAGCAACGGTCCACAGCGCAGCGTCGCAGGCCCAATCACCATTGCCCTGGAATACAGAGTTTGTCATGGAAAGAATAATGTATATACAGTATTTCAATTTCAACATAGCATCTTTCCAAAACCATTTGCCGAAATTTTGTATCTAGATAATTCATGTATATACATCCTTTGCTGGTTGCTGGGTGTCTAGCCAATCGTAATCTTGTCCTTTTTGCGAACGATGTTTGTTCTCTGACTGCTGGCCTCGTCAACCCAGCACAGTATGAAAACGTACTGAAGCGAAAGGTCCTTTTGACTGGCCATTGTTTTCTGGAAAGCTACCAGGACAGCAAACAGTCTCTGAAACATGGAAGGGCCGAGCAGCCTTGGTGTGAATTCCAACGGAGCTATCTCTGAAATAGGACAGCTTCCTGGGCGCTTGACAAGTTGTGTGTTCCAAACTGTCGAGATATGCCAAGACACCCGTCAGTAAATAAGTACATCTGATTCACCTGCTCCACCTGCATCCCAAATCACACAGAGTGCCCCCGAGTGCCCCCGAGCCATGCAGTACAAGATTGGAATGTCGACAACAGCCAATGACTAGGTGACTAGGTGCTACTAGGAGCAAAGGGCATCGCTACTAGGAGCAAGGACGCTACTAGGGGCTGCTGGCCTTACTACTAGGAACAAGAAGCTACGAGTGACAAGAAAACATGATAGGTGAAATGATACTGAGCAAAGAAGTCTCTCAAGCAAAAGGGTGCTTCCATCGGAAGAGGGCGTGTCAGTCTCAAGTCTTTCAAACCACGACCGGGACAACCAGCGCACCCCTTGTACGAAAAGGATCTCGGCTTTGTGGATCATCATGCTGCCCAAGGCCTGGTTGAATGGCAGTCGCTTTGGACAATGGATTGATTTTGAAGCGTGCTGGCAAACAACTTTGATTTGCAGGTTGAACCGACCAAGAGCACATCAAGGTTCGCCATCAGAGCACCTTGTAGCACATCTGCCTCGCGACAGCAGGGTTCTCCTGCACCAAGCTGCACAGCTGCAGAAGGCCCCGAAGGCCCCGAAGGCCCCGAGGCTCAAGTTGCTCTTTGTTGGTACCGTGCACCACGCTGCACTGCCGGTGCCACTGCCACTGCGAGTTGGTGTGTGTTCTCAACTGCCCCACTTGTCCCAACTCTGAAGGCCACATGGAGTCGTCCTGATCAAGAGTCTGGAAGAAGCCATGTCTCCTGGCCATAAGAGTCACATGAGCCACACAGCACCAGAGTCTGGATGAACTTCACCATGGGAAAAATAGAAATCCAACGAACGTCGTCATGATCACACCGAACTACACCTCAAATGCCGAAAAAAAAAGATCTCCATGCCATTGCAGTCCTCAATGCCGGCATGGAGATTTCGTAGCGAAGCTCCACCTGGGCCGAGGTAAAGCTCCCACTCGGACCCTCGGACCCCTCGTCCACTCAACCACCCTCGACTCGAGGGGTCCCGACTCGCAGAGGCTCCGAGAGGAAGGCCAAGAGTTCAATGTCTTCCTCGGGTGTATGCCTCAAGAGTTCAGTTTTGATGGGTCCTCGATTTCAGTTTCGATGTAACAGTTGGTGCAGTTCTTTTCACATGATTCTCAACAATCCGATCTGCTGTTGAGAATGGCCCAGCCCAGCCCAGCCTCTTCTGTTCTTCCAAGGCATACTGCGCATTGCGTTGCACCTTCAGAAATATCGGTGGCAATGGCCACTTTCAGATGCCACTTTGCTAAAGAGTATTCATGGAAACAATGCTTTTTCTTATGTCCTCTGTAAGTTTGAGGAACCAGCTCTCAAAGCAGTACCTCAGTGATGCCCAAGTATAAGTCCGGTGTGATGAGCAGATTGGAGTATCTCCAGGAAAGGTACCACATATACTAAGTACCTATATTAGCTGCACACAGTCAAGCTTGCAAACATAAGCTACAGGCAAGAAACTACAGCTAGGTCTAGTTATTGAATCCACAGCGAATCAGCTACAAAAGAGGCATGAAAGAAATGACCAAGCTAGACATACATCTTTCCCCGGAAACTTGTTGGAAAACGTTCCTTGCTACCGTGTCGAAGACTTGAACATCTAATGTACGGCTATGCAGCTTGCAAATACAAGCTGGCTCGTTTCACATGAATCAAGCAAGCAAAAGATTGTCTCTCATACTTACAAAGGCAAGTTGTCCAAGTGGACTCTAGAATTACAAACGAGGGGTACAATTTGGGTATGGTTAAAGGTAAAGGTGTCGCTCCTATAATTGGAGGTGTGATTCGGGATCTGATTCGCTGAAGCCAATTCCCATGTGTACACAAGCAAACTCACCTTCATAACACAAACCCTGGGGCAGAATATGTTATCGCTTACTTCTGGTCTGCACGGTCTGCCAGAATTCCGTCTTGCATCCCCAGCTCAACTTGCGCAACCATGATGCGGCTGGATATATGGTGCTCTCGCAAATATTCCTCACTATATGGGCACGTGAAGTCACAAGTAGTCATGGAGCTGAAGTTATTTATGTGTTTCCAATGTTCGCTGAAGCAAAGGTGATGCCAGGTCCTTGAGCGCTGCTAGCTTTGTGGTCTCCTGAACAGAAGAAATGCAACTGATCGCCGCAGCTCAGCGCTGAAACCGTTTCTCACTACGACCATTTGCATTCAGCTCATTCCCCCAATTAGTGGGCTGTTTTGCACCAATCCTACGTCAACTCTGTCTGTTTGGGGTGACATGTTCAACTCCGTCTCTGTTTCGCCCTTCTCACCTTTGATCTTGCAATGGACAGCCGGGTCATTGAGGTGGTGATGCTGCTGACAATCGACCTGGTCATACAATGGCCGGTGGTGTTGCTGCTCTTCCCGCAAGTGAGCCTGGTTGATACTTAGCAAACCACTTGGTTGTGAAATTTGGTTCATAGTCATCTTTGGAAACCAGGGTACATGTCGATCCCTATCGTGAATGGTTCGAAAGTGTGTCTTTATTGAGTTTCTTGGTGACCTTCGAGGGCCTCGCTTCGGAAAGCCCCTCATGATTTACTTGAGCACACATACCTCTTGGGTCCTAGGCCCTGGGTAGTCAGTGAAGGAGGAGACAGCTTAGAAATGCCTGATTAAACTACGTAACTTCTGGGGGGAGTTCACACCAGTTCCATTCCCAACAGTTTGGCCGTACGCCATGTGCAAACAAACAAACAAACAAACAAAAGTCCTGAGCTCTCCACGCAGAAATGATGAAGCAAAAGACCAATGCACACACTGCGAAAGTACGTTCATACCTTGAACTGCTGAGGTGACATAACTGCCTTTACCATTCATGGACAATGGAAATTCACCACATGGGAGAGCAGAGGCTGTTGGTTCTTTCAATTTAGCAGTTCAGTCAGCTTTTGCCTCAACCAACTTGGCCTCTGGCACACTCACTGGATAAACATCGGTGGATCCAGCCTGGGAAGAGCAGGTGCGAAGCGCTGTTCATGACTAAAAGTGGCACTGAGCCCAGAACAAACTGAGTTAAGCTCCAGTGAAAGCATGTCATATAGAGGAAGGCAAACTCCCTTGGCAATACTATCCGAAACACTTGTCTTGGTCAGTCATCTCTCTCACATTTATACACAAGTATACACAAGTATCCACGCTAAATGATGTGTCGGCTGTGTCGTGTAGTCTTCTGTCTCGTGCCCAGGCTTCATGCTGGTCTTGAAAACGTTCCTTTTGAAGCCAACTGCCATCCTCCAGTGTCATTGAATCTGCAATGCCATACCTGTCGCGCACTCCACAAAGAATCAGCGAAGAGACCGCGGAAGTGCCAACATCGATCAATAGAAGTCTCGAGACGTAAAATAAAAGTGTGCGACGCTCTGTGGGCCTGGAAAAACATGCATTTAGAACCAAAAAGAAAACACGTCTATATACTGTGCGATTTCCTGAATTTGTTTCCCGTCCCCCCCGGCACAAAGCCCTTATATAGCTAAATTCGAACTAATGAATGTTCACCTAGGTTTCGTCGAAGGGTGCAACCACACTTGGCCGTACGTACTAAATTTTGAAGTAAGTGTGTGTGTGTGTAACCTGTTAGTCGCATACCGGAACCTTTCATGACAGCAGGGGGCAATGGACACGTTGGAAAGCATGGTGATATTGACTTTGGGACGCCAAAGTTACGTATAACAGGCAGTTAAGCTCCAAACCGGAGCATCACCATGTCCTGATAACCAGTATTTGAGTCTGGGTTTAGAGGCCCCAGACTTACTGAACACCAGGTTGTCGTTTTGTTGCACATGTTTGCAAACCGACTGTGTCACTTAATATTTTGCAGTCAAAACCTCGTACAACAAAGGCAATAGGTCTCATAATCGGCGATTAAGCTGTTTCTTGGGAGGAGTCAACTAGTTTTTGAGAAACACCTTTGCTTGAGTGACCAAATCTCAGCTTCAGAGCCACCAAGAACTTTGACAAAAACTAAGGCGAAGCATGACTACCTGGGCAACCAAATTTTCTGGCTGAAACTTTAGTTTGAAAAAACCAGCAAAACTCGTGCACGAGTCTCGCAAATAGAAAACTAAGGATTCGAGATTCGAGTTTCGGGGTTTTTGCAAGAGGAAGTGACAAAAGGCAGAAACAAAGTGCTCTGGTCCGACATTGCAAAACTAGAAGACCTTTCTCATCATGGTTGCAATTTCGGGGCAGAATTTTTAACGACCAATTCAAGCTCACTCCTAGCAAAGTAGAAACAACTGGTGAGGCAATCGCTACGAGGACTGCGTTGTTCTAGCAAATGGGTTTGTAAACAAACAACAAACACTTGAAGCTTCAGAACTGATGCTTGAAGCTGCTGTCCCGCTGTGGAAAAAGCAGTCATGATCAATTCGTCAGGATCGCCAGCAGCATGCCAGCACCTGAATCGAGATGTCGGGTATGCGAATAGATTAAGCGGCTGTGACCCAATGCATACACCTTAACTCTGAATATTCAAGACATCTGATATTCTCAGTATCAAAGTTTGGCTTTGTTTCTTCCTGGCACAGTGGGACAGGCAGCTTGGAACCGCACATGATTGATCCAAACCAAAAACAATAGGATTTTGCAAATGTCCAAGACAATGCGGCTCACCTGGGCAACGGCGAGCACTGATTTTTCTGCAACTCCAAACAAGACTTGTAAGGCAATGGATGCCATGCGTCCTTGCTCCTAGTAGTACTGCCAGGAGCCCGTAGTAGCGTCCTTGTTGGCAATGGATGCCATTCCACCAAGTTACTTCTGACTGGAAGTAGTGGTGGATCAGGACTTTCACACTCTCAGGCAGGCGGTTGACATTCAACAATCGCCTCAAAAGACTGTCGGCAAGAGGGGGATCGAGTCTTCTGTACACACGCTGGAGTGGCTACACCACAGGCCAACTGTTCCTGAGCACCGATGCCAGAGTCGCATCATTCGAATCATTCGAAGGCTCTTCACCTGCCAGCTGCAATTGCCGGTCTCAACGGACCCGAATCATGGTCTTTCTGATTTACGCAGGGCGCCAGGCAGTTTTGCCCATGCGAGCTGCGTTCAGGCTGCCCATACCACCCCCGCCAATAATGACCTCATCACATAATTATCTGCTCTGATCGGTGCTTCTGTGGGACTTTGCTGCCAGTGTTGAGGCAGGAGCTTCCGCCCAGTCAACGCAAAGCATTGATACATCCTCAGTGATTCAGGAATGAAAAGGAAGAAGCGCTTCGTGACGGAACTCCGGACTCTCAGTCACTGTCAAAGTCAAAACACTTCAAAACAAACCAAACGACATGTCTTTGAGCACACTGCCAAAGACATCCATGTCTTTGCATAGTGGGGGAAGACCTGAAGCCATAGGATGACCGCAAACGCCATCTCAAAACGCGAAAAACCTCTCTCTTACACGATGACCGCAGAAAGCTGCCACGTGTTGGAATGCAACGCGCGCGTGTTTCGGAGAAACGAGACCGCCTTCTTGGGTCGCATCTCGACCATCTCACCCGGCAAGGCGTAGCCCGTGAAGCATGAGAGGGGGAAGTCCACAGACCAAAAGATTCGCACCTGGGAAGACAACCGCTCTCCCACCCTCCGTACTTACTTAAGTAGGCGCCTACTTAATCCAAGTAAGGAGGTAAGTTACTAGCCTACTTAAGGGGGTAGGCCGCTAGTAGCTAGGTAGCTAGTACCTACAAGTAGCTACTACTTAGGACGCAGGATAGCTCAAGCTTCTTCAAGGAAGCTCCCCCTAGGGTGGCGGGGGGAGCTTCCCTGAAGAAGCGCTCGCGCTAATAATTTGGTTCCTAGATTTTTAGGGAAACTTAACTTAACTAGCGAACTGCAATGCCTGGGGAACCTGCAATCCAGCCGACCACATCAAGAAAAGCGGACTCGCCAAAGTCAAAGAAGGCCAAAGGAATCATCTCAGGCAATGCCACGTGTTGCAATGTTGACTACTAGTGCAGTTCATCCCTGAACGTGTATTGCAACTGATGCCGTGGCTGTTCTTTGCAGCTGATACAAGGGCAGCACAATGCATTCATAAATCACAAAAATGCAAGCCAAGGAGTCCCAACCTTGGAAGCAATACCAAAATGCAACAATGGCCTGCTGGTGAGTTTGTATAAAAGTGTGTAAACAACTTCAATATCACTACTAGGAGCAAGAATGCTACTAGGGGCTCCTGGCCTTACTACTAGGAGCAAGGACGCTACTAGGGGCTCCTGGCATCGCTACTATAGGAGCATTCTGACTACTAGTAACAAGAAGCATGCCTTTAACTCCATGGCCACACCGACCAAGCTCCGCAACTTAGCTCTTTGCATGAGCGGACCACTGAGTTTGGAGAGATCATCCAAGGCGTCATGCATGTGTTGACCCGCTTGACACACCTGTATGTTGGTGCCAGAAGCAGAAGAATCAATTACATAGCTGCAAGTTCCCTGGTGAGTTAGGACTCAAAAATCCATGGCACCTCTGCAGTGTGCCCGGTTTCCGGCCGTCTTCACCTTGCAAATATCAATTGTAGTCACCAGCAGCACAGCGACAACTGAGTGAACAAGTGTCCAGTCACTGCACAAATACATTCACACAAAATATACAATATCTAATCCTACAGGTTGAAGAACTGTCAACACTTGAAGGTACCTATCAAGCCGGTTTGAAGTACCCAAGTCAGAATAAGGTGTTGAAACTCTTTCTGCCAAGCAGCAGTTTGACTTTTCCGAATCAGAGCCTCACGCCCACTGTAGACAAAAGAGGAACCAATTGGTATATATATATATGGAGTTTCATCCGCAAATTAAAAAACAAAAAATACATCATGTCTGCATTCTGCATCACAGAAATGTGCAATCATCAGATTTTGGCGAGTGCAGTTCTAAAGACCGGACAAGGCATTAGCAGTGCTCCAGCGTTTGGCCATTTTCACCTGCAGACTGGCCTTCAATGGACTCCCCTTCGTCTTGCTGGTATAATGCGGCGGCCACTGCAACACTGGAGTCCTTCGTCAACAAAAGCTCTGGAGGATTTCCAAATGATCACACAAAGGCCCAACTATAGACTATAAACTATATAAAAACTATGACATGAAATTGAAGCCTTACTGCAAATGTCACGAGGGTGATTTCCAAAACATCCCCCAGCACCCACCTGACTCCGCAGTGCGTCCAATGTCCTTAGAGCTCTGGTACAAAAGAGAAAGCACGACCATTCAATGATTACTTGTAAAACCTCATGATTCACCTGAACTGTGAAAAGCTTCCAAACACTCCAACTCAAGAATCAAGAATATCTTTGGCTGTTTGGACAAAGCAAGGTCGTGGCTTCCACCGCGAGTGGAGGTCAAAGTTGAGCTTCACAGGCTTGGGTCGGTCCTCTGCAAGAAGCATGCGAATCGCCGCAAGAAAATGGACATTGAACATGGGCATGGCCTGCCTGGGTCCATTTCTTAGAGGATATTGGAGGAAGATGTGCATAAAGTTTGCATAAAGTGTTCAGCCCGCCCGCCTCTTTGATTGATGGAGCAGGCGATGAAGGAACGATGTCACACAAAGTTTGTGCTACACCTGCAAATGCATCGGGAATAAGGCAGTCAAACAAATGTTCGGAGGTCGTCTCCTGGTGCACGACATGATCCGAACCCTCAATGTACGCTCTTTCAGATTCGCTCCACGAAGATGCCCTCGCCCCAAACGGACGCTGGGCATCTCCATGCCGTGTTCAAAGGCGGCAAGCAGCACACGGCCAGAGCACTGCTCAAATAGCATTTCCTGGCACCAAGCAAAACGGTTGGCAAAGAAAGCGATTAATGTGGCTACTCTTGGTTGACAATCTGCCATCGCATTCTTCTCAGGCCACGCTTGACGGCTCATCACAACTTGACTCGCACTCATCTTGCTGGTTGAATGCTTCCTGCTTTGGTTGGAAGAGAAGCACCGCCACAAGAGCAACAAGGAAAAGGCCACCAGAAAGTATCCAAGCAGTTGTGGCCTCTTTTCGCTGCAAAAGCTCCCCAATGATCAGCGTTTGCGTGATCCCGAGCACTTGTCCTCCTGACATGCACAAGCCAGCAAGCGTTCCTTCACCGGTCGGATGCCCAACAGCCACCGCTGCCTCAAAGGAAATGGGCATTAATGGAGTGGCTGAGAATCCAAGACCTGCAAAGGCAACAAGGAGGAGTTCGAAGCCTCTAGAGTTGCCCAAGTAGACGACTGTGAGTGTTGCCAAAGCTGAGAAAACAACACAGGCTATACAGCAAGTCACCAGCACAGGTTTGTGCTTTCCTGTCAAGCCCACCATCACCGACATGAGAGCTGCGCCAATCACACCGCCCAGGGTCGTCGCTACACCAAAGGCTGAAGCTGCATCTGCATCAAAGCCAAATGGTCCCACCAGTTGTGCTGCAAGTGTGCTCATAGTATTGAAAGAGCCCAAGCTGCACGCAAAGGAAGCTATCAAACACCAAAGTCGTCCGTTGCACAAGGCTGCCTTGAGCTCCTTGGCAAAGGACTTTCCTGCATGATGTGACGACACTGGACTTGGAGGCCTTGTCGGTTCCGAACGAAAAAATACGATGATTAGGAAAAGAGCTGCGCTGCTCCAGCAAAGATGGGCATACAGCATATTCTGCAAACCCAAACCAGTAGGCAAAATGAAGCCAATCGCTGCCCCGATGGGCATCGACAAGGATGCGATGGTATCTGCGATGACACGTTGATACGGTGGGAACCAGTCAACTGCAATCTTCGGGGGCATATCTGTAAAGAAGGGTTGGCCGATCGCTGCCAAGACTTGACCCGCCATGACCTCAGTCCATTCGCTCAAGTCCATTTCAGGGAGCTGAAGATCATAATATGTTTTCTCTTGTTGTGATCCTGTTTCGATGGTCGTTGTGGTTGGAAACGTTTCTACCAGTACATCATATGAGTGACGTGCGAAACCTCTTATGTGTTGTAGTGCGCACTCTTCCCAACGTTATCGTTTTTGCTGTGAACCTTATTGTTCCTGAGGGTTTGGACACATATAACAAAAGGAACATGGCCAAACCAAGACCCCACCATGGCCAAACCGGGGCATTTCACCGGACAACTGACCCGGTCGCCAAGTGACCATGTTGACCGAGCCAGGGCCAACTGGTTTCACACATCGAAGCACTGCCCCCAGCGTCTGGAGTGAGCCGCCAATGATCAGTGCATGGCCTGAGGAATGCGTTTGAAACCGCATGGAACGTGTTTTTCCATATGAAATTTAAAAGATTGTGGAACCTCTACAGTTGTCAAATCACATTAAAATGGGAACTGGGGCCACGGCGGCAGCCAAGAACATCCATGGCATATGAAGCTGGAAAATTGGCTGGCAAGTAAACCTGAGGCCACAAAGGCTTTCCCAAAAGAAAAACGGAAAAAGAAAAGGTAAGGGCCCCTTCAACAAGGCCCCTTTTGACGAATACATTGTTGGAAACTCATCAGGTTGATTCAACGTGGGCACATGTTGAATGGTTGCAATTTCTTTATCCTGCGTAGTTCTGTGTGTGTGTGTGAAGCTCCGTTACAATTGGTCTGGTGTCCTGCTCATCTCCTAGATTTGGACGCATCAGCCCTTATAGATGCGCTGGCAGCTGTACATGATATGAATCGGGCTGCTGATGCTGCAGCAGAGGCAGTCATTGCACAAGAATGTAAACAGTTGCTAAATGATCTTACACTGAAGCAAGAATTTGTGTTTGCCCAGCAACGTTAGCTCTCCCAAATCAACAGGCACCTTTCACAGATTTGTCCGAAGGTTGTGACAGAGCCTGTTCGTAACTGATGTTAAAGAAACTGATCCCAAGTTGTTATGTCAGGCTTGACCGTGGAATGCGTCGATCTCACAGTATTCCTGGGTTGCCCAGTTCGATGATGTTCCTCTGCTGACCAAACGTGCCATGAATCCGGAAAATGTCAAGCTGTTTTTTGTTAAATCTTTTTGCAGGAACCTGAGATGGAGGTTAGGTGAAGGTGAAGGACATGCCACTTCTATTTTTGAGCTTGCTGTTTTGGCCTTCCATCAAAAGATCCACTTCTCAGTGGAAAGTCCGGACATTGCTTCACCTGCCTCTTTTGCCAAAGTTTTCGTGACGGCTTTCCGTTTTGCAAGAATCGGGGGCATCCCCGTTGCTCCCGTCTTCATTGAATATGGTAATAAAAGCAATGGGAGGGCAGAGGGTGCGCGGAAGCCTCCTTGGCTGCTGAGCTTCGTCAGCGCGAGAGCGGCCCCCTTTAAAGGGTGCCTTCTTGCAGCCCTTCTGTATCTTAGAGGTGAGGTAAAATGTCTGTCCTTCGAGCGTACATGGCTCAGAATCCACCTAAAGGTTCAGGCAGTTCCTCCGTTGAACCTAGTCTTTAAAGTTGTGCTATCTATATACCCTAGGCGCTAGATTTCAAAATTCTTTGCCCATCCATGCAAATGTCTTGAATCCTGCTCAAACTAAGTGTGTTTACAATTTAAAACGATCACAATGACAGCTGCCTATTTGCAGCTTCGAAGCGATCATAAAAACCAAGGACAACAGATTGACCCAAGTAGAGGAAGCATCGAATGTGTGAATGACTTCGGCTTCGATGGGAGCAAAGCCAATCCACATCGCCTGGTTTGCCATGCACCCAAGTGCGTAGAGCCCCAGCATCCTCCAGCGTTGCTTGTCAGCACCCCACTGGGCGGCTTGTGCAGATTCTGCTGCAGGTGCGGCACTTTCGGACTCTTCTTTGCCAACCTGGCGCTTGTCTGGATGAACCAATCTTTCTCAGACAGTTACTCAGTTTAGTTGGGTTCTGATGCATGTGCTGGTGAGGTGGATTCAAATGATTTTGCAGGGAGGGTCGACAGAATCCTACTTGGCTTCGTGTGACTTGTGTTCGTTTCTACTTCACGAAGAGAAGAACTAGCTATCCAGCCCGGGCACAAGCATGTTCATCATGCCAGGCAAAACGCGCAAGCGCAGCACACCGTCATGTTCCAAGATTTCGCCATCCACATTGAACAGTCCAGGCCGTTCAAATCGAAGTTCTACTGCTGTCACTTGCTTTGATGACCAGACAACCTGCCCGAGCTGATCCCGACTTCGCTTCTCTCGTTGAACGCAGCACAAAAAAACAAATTCTGCGTGAGATCCCCGTGATCGACACCCACTTCCACTATAGGGGGAACGCCGCGGACCTACTTCGCCCAGTCCGGTTCACCCGGTCCTCGTCTTCCGTGTGGGCCCCATGCGCCAACTTCAAGAAACCCGCCATCAGCTGATCCACCGAGGCATCGGAGGAAATCGTTGAAAACTCCAAGAGCCCGTCATCCAACTGAGCCTGTTTTACACGGCGGCCATGTAAACAG